ATTAATATGTGTATTTGTAAAATTTGTGCGTTGCTATCCATTATCGTAATTTTTTCATTATGCTCTTAAATTCAAAACGGTTGACAATGTGCTAAGCTTTCATTAGAACGTGAAAAAAATTATCCATTATGGAATTTTTTCTATCTATGTCATAATCGCATTGTCATCCGCGCTTTAAAGCATGAAGAAACTGTTCCTTTACAGGCATTTCAGAACATTACTGCAATATTCATAGTTGATTCTGTTCAGTGCCGGCTTTCATTTTGGATTATGAATTGCTTCTAGTATCTCTAATATTATTTTGTTGTTTTCATGATACAGTGTAACCCGGATATAAGAGAGTTTTCGGGACCGGAGAAGAAGTCTCTTATATCCGGGTTTCTCTTATATCCGTGTTTCTCTTATATCCGGGTTTGGTCTATTTTATATACATTAACACAGGCTCTAATTTGGGATCAGAGAAAATCTCTCTTAGATCCGGGTCTCTTATATCCGGGTTACCCTGTAGTTGTGTTGTCGATTAGTAATTTTTATATTGTGAATGCGGATATATATATATATATATATATATATATATATATATATGTGTGTGTGTTTGTGTCAGATATCTGTGAATTATTTGGACATATTTACTAATATTAGTCTATTTCTATGCAAATTATACTATCGTTTATATATTATGAACACGAACATTCTATTTATGCGTTAGATGGTGTCCATAGAAGTTGATGTTAGTGTCCTTTTAGTGGACATCAATTAATACAATGTTTGAAGAATCAAAATCCCTGAAAATGTTTACTGGTTAAATTTTGTCAATAGTTTCGAAAGACATGACAGTCTGAAGATGGCCATGTTAGGACCATGCACTGATAAACGCATCCATATCACTGGAACATCTCTTTTTATAGATTAGCCAAGTATGGGTGTTGGCATTGTTCAGTATCAAGAAGATACCTTTACACAAATGTCTTCATCCGATTCTGTATTTACCAGTGTCTGTGCGTTCCGAAATCTTTTCGCAGCATAGCTTTTATCCATTAGAGAGAGAGTTACCATAGATTTTTGTTTCCACAGCTGGATTTATATTTTTTCTGCTGAGTGACGATGGATGCTTTCAAGTCTTCGAATTATCTGTTGTCACCTGGTTGACATAATTCGCCACGAATTCATCATATACAATGACGTATCCCTCTGTACGTTTAAAAATTGCAATTATCTTTTTTTTTTTTTTTGAACATTTCACCCCAAGTAAGGCGATAACGCCACTCGGACGTAAATTGATACGGGAAGTGACAGAAAAGAAAACATCTTTAGAAGAAACCCAACACTAGACAAGAAACCAGTGATAAACCTTTACTCCTGTTCAAAATTAGAAGTATAGAGTTGAAAAAGAATTTAGAAGGAACCGGAAAATTTGCTTCATTTTAAAGCATGGTGGAGGTTTGTGAAACGAACGATAGGAGAACATGCATTTGAAGTTGTGTTTTTTGGGGGTTTTTTGTCTAGTTTAGCCACCAAACCTGGATAATCTTTCACAATATTTTAACTACTACTGTACTGTACTGATGCGGCATTCACCCTGGGCGGATTGAGCCGGCTTCTTCCTGTTATGAGAAGAAGATTCTTGGGATAAATTACAGAAGTAGGGTACCCAGGCCTACTCGGATAACGTTCTTGCTTGCCGCGGGGTTCCCACAGACGCAGAGACAGGAACGACCAGAAGCCGCCGGTTACCGATGCAGACGCTCCTTGGATTTTCACCAGAGCCCTTGTTAGCCGGCGTGTGTGTCAGACCAGTCCGCCTTGGGTGGCCCTACCAGGAACGAAGTTCCGGGCGGCATAGCTCTGACACTATCGTTTACACCCCCCACCGACTGTGAGGTAAGGGTTGGACTTTGGGGGCTTACAGTACCAGGTGTTCCCAAGCGGTCCCCCATCTAAGTACTGACCTGTCTCTACGATGCTTAACTTCGGTGATCGTACGAGAACCGGTGTTTCAGCGTGATTTGGCCGTAATATTTTAACTACGGTCGATTGATGGCCATCTGCATGTTTGTTTACGGACATAATTATATGTTTATCTATAAACACACACACACACACACACACAAAAACACAAAAAAAAAATAAATAAAAACATTGGTGATATTTTATTTCATTGATGTCGATAAAACACGTCTTCAAATTTTCAGACCTGTAAACCAAAGGAAAATAGAAAAATTTACCCTAGGTTTAAAAATTAAGAATGGTGAATTCATATAGATAGTAGGTTAAATAAATATATTAAGTTATCATCGTGTAGAGAGGGGAGAAATATAGTTTATAATTAGCGACATCTATTGGGACCATCTGCATGATTATTTACGGACATAAATATATGTTTATCTATAAACACACACACATACACACACATGCGGGAATAATTTGTGTGAGGGAAAGAGTAAATCGGCAATACTAGATCTTTTATTTACTGCTTATGTGTTGATTTACTGCGCTTGGGTTTTGTTATGTACAATACTGTTGTTTATTTTCCAATATCTTACAGGAAATTTCATGATAGAATCAACCGATGTTTTAATAATGCATTGAAAACGATTCAACATTGTGCTTTTTGAAAGCTTAGCTTGATAACTATCCGTTCGTCTACCTGTTGTTTAAGAAATCTTTCATTAACATTATCTGATCATCGCTACTCACGATTAGTATTATACGTTTCTTATCGTTGTTGTTTCCCGAAAAACATACAATATATATATATATATATATATATATATATATATATAATTTCTCTTATTCTAGTAGTCGCATTCTACTCATACTTTTACAGCTAAATCATATCTACAAGAAAGTCTTAGATACTGAATATGGTAAATGGTTACAGAACGGCAAAAAGACATGGTTACGAAAAGGAATTGGGAATTCATTGATACGCCATAAACCCCACTACGTTCTCTCTCTCTCTCTCTCTCTCTCTCTCTCTCTCTCTCTCTCATATATATATATATATATATATATATATATATATATATATATATATATATATATGTATGTATGTATAATGAGACTGTCTGTGTCTGTCTGTCTGTCTGTCTGTCTCTCTCTCTCTCTCTCTCTCTATATATATATATATATATATATATATATATATATATATATGTAGAGAGAGAGACATGTATTTCTTCATCTGTGGGGAGGGTATCCAATATTCACTGCCACTTAAATGGCTGTACAACATAAAGCAATACAACACCCTTTTTTATTATTCCAACGAATGTTTCCGTTTCTTAGTTCTCTTCTTAGCTTTTGGAATGTTTCTTTCGCTAATTCAATGCATGTTTGGATTTCGTTGTCGCTGTTTCTACTCTCTTAAAACACTGTCCAAATTTTAAAACTCTATTCTAAATTTAATATTCTTCATTTTTACTTTATTTCAGGCATGTTGAATTTTTATTTTTAACACTAATTTTCCTTCAGTAGGTAGGCTACACTTATTCATTTCATTACATTTATTTATTATTTTCGAACTTTCATGACCTCTTTGGAATGATAACAGTGGTGTTTCTCGTTGTCTTCTCAAATGTTTTGCCTTAGGATCTTTCATTTTCATATGTATTTTTTCAGAATTTCCTTTAATATACATTATTTGTAATGATTACTTGGGAACATAATGTGATGATTTCCTTCTGCAAGATTTGAACTAAGTTTTTACCTTCCTTCAAGGGTAGAGAGCCCCATCTAACCAGTTATTTAGCCCGAAGCAGTACGTTTATTGCAGTGGAAGTTAGTTTTGGCGTATCGCGTGCAAATTCCAAACCAATCTGTTAGATTTAATTTTGAATAAGTTCACTCGAGACAGACATGTGTCTATCACCATCTGTGTGCTATGAGTAAAATAACAATGTAGCCTATGTCATCTAGCCTTGACTGACAAAGAGCCTAAAAGAAGTGGAATTATTTATCGAAAACTGTATAGAAACCAACTACTATTTTTTTCCTTTAATCATTTCATCCCAAACACGGAGACAATGCCCCTAAGACACAAAGGTTTATTGAGAGATTCGAAACTCAGAAAACCTTGAGTAGAAAGGAAAATAAAATATCAAGATTCAAAAAGACAGAATATGGCGAATGATTTGCATATGAAGTTTTGCTTATTTTAATTGACAAGAAAGCAAAATTATCCACAAGCGATAAAGTCGAAAGATGAATCTAGTAGAATATAAATTACGGTTATTGTCAGCCATTATAGAAGTAGAAATATGTGACCTGTCTCTCTATCTAGTATTAAGCTTAAATTCATGAAATGAAAGAAATAAAGACAGAAAAAAGTTGCAGAACATTCGCGATGGAAAAGCACGGCGAAACTACATTACGGCTGTGGGAATATGTTGGAACCTGTGACGTCAGGTCTTCCCTTATAGCATGGCAGATAAGCCTTATTATTGTGTCAAGCATCTCTTCATACATATCAGAAACGCCAGACACGTTTAGACAAAACTATTCAATGTATAGACAAATGATAGACTAAGAAATAGATTATACCTCTATAAGAATATTAACGGAAGTTGTGGAGAGGCATGATCTTTTCTGTTATGGAGTGCCATATCTTTTAAAAATGACTGTTCACATTGCTTATCATATATTGACAAGATTCAGAATCATTTGAAGACGATATAATCATAAAGGGATTGTATAAAACAGAAAACACGCAAGGTATATAAAGACCAAATATATTTCGAAATGAAACAAATCTGATGCATCTACAATAAAACTACTATTACTAAAAGTACTACTAATACTTTTAATAATAATAATAATAATAATAATAATAATAATAATAATAATTAACGTATCATAAAAGTTCGCAGATCAGGTCCATTTTTTATGGTTGTCACTTGTGACTTTTGACGTCTACATTTTAAACTGATTGTTATTAGCAAAAGGTCACGAAGTAATTCTTCGCATATTGTCCATTATTTCTTTTTTCTAATCCGTTTTTAATGTTATTATCATTATTAATATCCTCTTTTGCCCTTTCTATCTGTCCGGTAAATATACAGTGTCATCCTTCGAAAAACAAGCAACTCGCTTCTGAAACAATCTCGACAAGGACAAAAAAAAAGAAGAAAAAAAAAACCGGATGAGACGCCATTGCATTATTTGTGACATTTCGGTTTCGGGAAATCGACGTTTAAGTTGCAGGACTGACCCTTCACGCGTGAAGTAAGTAAACAGGAAAGTGGTAAATATAAATAAATTCACAATGAGCTAATGCAGTCAAACATAGAGCGCTGTGAATAAAGAAAAGCCAAAAAAAAAAAAAAAATGGAAAGAAGAAACATCCTTGACACCATTAAAAAGCACTTGGGTCTAAATCAGTCCGGGTCTTTTATAAAAACAGTTCGCCGAAATCTTACCGTAGAATTTCTTTTTGCTTCTACGATTAACAAAGCGTCGATGCACATTTACAGAACCAGTTGTCAATACAGTAATGTCTGTTGAGGTGAATATAACGTCACAGATTTCGTAAAAAGTGTTGAGCGATGAACAAGACGAAGTTATGTAGTTAATACAGAGTTGTGCCGAAAACTGCTTGACATTATTCAGTAAATTCTGACCAATTCACACACCTCCCCGTTTTTTTTGGCAGAAACGTAGAGTTGTACACACTGTTTTCCAGTTTGGGATTGGGTTTCCGCTTTCTCCTAAAGACTTTTAATTCTCTTTCAATCCCAGTAGCCCCTTGCGTCTTAGTGGCATTATCACCTTGCTAAAGGTTAATTTCATTAAAACAATGTCTATCAGAGAATGTATCCGTATCCCTTCATAAAGTTTTATTGTCTAGATAACAATTGTCCCTTCAGATTAGTTCTTTGGTTTTACGGAATTATGACCCATTTACACTTTAAACTTACTATCCCCAGAAATTCTAGCCATGTCCGACAACATTCATATTTCTCTCACTTAAACCTCTTCAAATCACCTCTCGAAAACTTCTCTCTGTTAAGGTTTAATCTCCGAACTTCGTTCGTCTGTTACCCCTCTCTTTAGCTCTAACATTCGCCCCACACTCTCATACTTACACTCTCTCTAAATTCTATTTTTATTTCCGGAGTTGTTTTTCTCTGTTTTCAATTTGAATTTGTAGGTCTGATGAATTGGATCGTATTTACGATTCCAATGGAATAAATTGTGACCTTTTTATTACACACACACACACATATATATATATATATATATATATATATATATATATATATATATATATATATATATATATATATATATATACATATATATATATATATATATATATATATATATATATATATATATATATATATATATATATATATATATATATATATACATATATATATATATACATATATATATATATACATATATATATATATATATATATATATATATACATATATATATATATATATATATATATATATATATATATATATATATATATATATATATATATATATATATATACATATATATATATATATATATATATATACATATATATATATATATATATATATATACATATATATATACATATATATATATATATATATATATATATATATATATATATATATATATATATATATATATATATATATATATATATATATATATATATATATATATATATATATATATATATATATATATATATATATATATATATATATATATATATATATATATATATATATATATATATATATATATATATATATATATATATATATATAGGTATCGTTATATATAGAAAAATATGACAAACTGGAAAAAAAGTGATGGAGAAAAAATACATAGAATACACACGCATTTGTCTACATTGAAAGAAACAATTATCTTCCAAAACAAAACAAAAAAAAAAATATATAAATATTACAAAAATATTTTTTTCAAAAAATTTTGAAACTACCAGTGTCTGTGCGCATGTGTAGACGTGGTGACATCAACCAACCCCAGTTCGATGAAACGCTTCACAAGAATTTTTGTCAGTTTGTCATCTATCTATCTATCTATCTATGTATCTATCTATCTATCTATATATATATCTATCTAGTCCTTGGCTTCAACCTTACAATATCCTCAGACGATTTTTATTTATTCATGTCACAGTGCTTTATTTTGACAAAAACTGCATGAATGTATATTATTATTTAAAAAATAAATAAATAATGTTAGATGTGATAGAAAAGGAGGAGAATGATGTGAAGAAGCAATGAGAAGAATAACAAGAAGAAAGGAGAGGGAAATAAAAGCAAGGGTATTATAAATGCATCGCTGGGAAGGGTTAATTCAAATGTACATACTTATTTATCCAGCCTCAAATGAGCTTAAGAGGATTTTTTTAGTATGTATGCAAGGGCTCATATCTTCGTGTTTCTTGTTTAAAAAAATGTTTTTTTGGGATCCGGAAATTAAATTATTGCTATTTTTCCTCTTGATAGTTGTTGCAAATATTATTGTGGTTGTTATAAGGCTTCGCCTTTTCTTAAAATGTCCAGCTTACAATCGTATCCCTGATGTTTTTTTTTCTTTTAATTTCCACACATGGTTAATTATTTTGGTAGAGCTCCTAAGACTTACTAGCTTGAATTAAGATTTATGATTGTACCATCTTGGTCTGAATGTACCTTCAGTACATTCCATGTACGTTTTTTTCTAGTCATTAATATCTATATTTTCTGCTTTATAGATTAATGCTTCTGTCTTACAAGCAATTTCTAACGAACATTTATTTTTTCTACAGTTGCATAAATTGATTGTGTTAACTATATATTGCTACCCTTTAATTTTGAAATTTCTGTCGTTTTGTCTATTTATTATTGTTTCTCTATTATTAATACCGATGTAGCTTAATTTAACTGTGTTTTTATTAAATATCTGAACTCTTTTGGAAGTATTTAGTAAGTAACTTGAAAATTAATTTCCCTATTTTAAATTTTACCTCTAAGTTAAAAGTATGTTAAAGTAAATATTATTTTCCTTTTTCCTCGAATTGTTCTTCATATGTTGTTTAATTTGAGGTTTAAATTGCAGTTAAGTGTTATGTTACATTTAAGTTCTTCTCATATTCTTTCTATTTATTCTCAAAAATTATTTTCTTCATAACCTAGGCTCTATTCATTTATGGTTGTCCTTCATTAAGCTTGCAGGGTGTTTAGATCAAATATTCACGTATTTTCATTTTTCGTTCCTTACATTTTATTCATTTAAACATCTGTTTCAAAGCAGAGGATTTGAAGAATTTGAAAAAAGACATTTTTATATTGCAATTTCTTATTCTGTTGTCTGTCGGTATTATTAGAGCATCATCCCTATAGATACGATGGCTGTTTCTACGTACAAATTGTTAATTTCATGTAAGATATGCAGACCGAACATCAGCGCTATCAAACGAACCATGTAGTACATCGAAGCCGTCTTTTCTTATTTCTTAACCCAGGTTACGTCATTGTGGAAGAAAATTGATTTTCGGCAATGTAAAATTATTTCCGTTTGAACAGGTGCTATGTTTACAAAGCCTTTGGCAACGTCCAATATCTCCTGCAGACGTTTTTCAGATATAGATATATAAAATATTTTAATGACATATTTATAAATATACACTGTTTTTTTATTTGTAATTTCATGCAACCAAGAAATGCCCTCATTTGTGTCATTCCATAGATTGGACAGTGGGGCAATCCTTAATTTAAAAAAAAAAAAAAGAAATACTTGGCTCGTTCTACCTAAATCAGTTTTAATTGAATTTATTAGCCGACTATATATATATATATATATATATATATATATATATATATATATATATATATATATATATATATATGTTTATCATAAACAGAGCATTTGCTTAAATACTTGTATCTATAAAATAACAACGTAAACATAAAAAAAAATGTCTTTTAATAAATAAATTGTCGGACCTTGTCCATTTCTTAATTTGTACATGTCTATATATAGATATATTATAGATATCTACCTGTATATACATAGATATGTATAAAGATATTTATATATAGATAGACATGTACAAATGTATATGTATCTAGTGAGATAGAGAGACAGATAGATAGATATTTATAAATATATATATGGAGAGTTAGATATGTGTATATATATATATATATATACATATATATATACGTATGTATATATACATATATACGTATCTATCTACCTCTTCATATATATATATATATATATATATATATATATCTGTCTACATATATACAGATATATACCTTTGTAAATGTCTATCTATTTATAGATATCTTTATATATATATATATGTGTGTGTCTGTGTGTGTGTGTGTGTGTGTGTGTGTGTGTGTGTGTGTGTGTGTGTGTGTGTGAATGACAGTGTGTCACACTTTTTCAACTTTACCCCTAGAGGTCGTAATCAAGCATAACATACCATTTTGGAATCAAACCGACTCCGTGAGCAAGTGAAAAACATTCCCGACCGAATCTGGGACACGCAATCATGAAATTTTCATTACTGCTTTCGGCGTTTTTCTTGCATGAATTTTATGCGACGAAACGATTTTTATAACTTGGGGAATAATCGAAATTATTTGTGAAATGCAGCGAAAGTCACCCATGATATAAAAATAAGTGTTTGGACCGACGTAGATCAAACTTTTCTTTGATTAATTGGCGCTACAATAAATATCGTGGAACATTTAACAGGTAGACTTAAATATCAATGCAATGCTTAAATACAGCGATCAATTTTGACTTCATTTGTACTTTATTCTACCTATCCCATCAACTCCTACCTACTCACTGAGATGAAGGCTCAACCAAGAGCCCTTTCGTAGGAGCTAGCTTAAATGACGTCAAGGTGGCAATTACGGTAGTACATCCACACCCCCACATCCCCCACATATATATATATATATATATATATAGTACATATAGCGTGAGTACCTCTGATACTATGTTTAAATCATGACTGTTTTTCTCTTCTCCAGATTACTAATAAATCTTAAATAATCTATATATTTTCCCTTAAGATACATCTCTATTAAAGGAATCACAACCGCTTTCAAATTTCGTTATGTAGCTGAAATAAAAATATGTGCAAAATATCTAAAGTCATTTTCTTTTGGTTTTACATGGATTCCAGTGCATATTTTGGTCACGTGTAATGATCGAAATATTTGTCTAAGCTGATTATACAGCCTTCAAACAATATAACTCATTGTCTATAAAGGATGTATTTACAGACTAATTTAAAACAAAGAAATATGACATAATCCAAATACCTTCCTGAACTTTAAAAAAAGACATAGTTGATACTTATAATGATGGAGAAGACTACAAAAATTTATCAAAACGATTTCTACTGTACCTGTACTTTACGCGACAAATTAATTAAGAGATATATGTCTCTTTTCTATGAGGGCTTCGCAACCAAGACATCGAACCCACCAAGTCCAATCGAATTCTAGTGTGATATCTACAGTTCTCCAAGGCCCCGATTTAATGTTTAGTATAGAGCTTAGAAAAAATTCGCAATGTGAGATAGGCAAGAAGTAAGGCATGTAGCAACATCAGCACGGCAAAGGACACTCCTTTAAAGGCAAGGAAGGGCAAAAATATTTTAAGTCAAGTCGTACGATTTTTGAATCAAGCAAGGGCAACGCCGGGTCATGCTACTAGTATAAAACAAAACGAAAAACTTTAAATCATAAAACAAGATATATGAATCCTTCAAATAAAAAAAAAAAACATTCCGAATGTCTTTTAACATATCGAGAAAAAATGTCGGAACAATGACTTAATAATATAGAATAAAAATGTGTTGGTATGATATAAACTAAAACAGAAACGGATCGGCAGGACACGCGCTATTATCTTAAAAAATATTCTTGCAATCTCCAACTATTTTCTGGCTTTAAATATTCCGCAAGGTGTTGATAAAACATAAAAAACGAATAAATCAATCAATTGAATTCGTTTCGTTCTTTTAGTTTTTTCGATAATCCTTCACTTACTCGGCGTAAATAAACTGTATTTCCTGAAAAGCGTATAATCAATAAGATCAAAGTATATACGTTTATTAAAGTTAAACCTTATTAGAACGGGCAATGGTGATCTCCGCAGTAAATAAATACAGCAAAGACGGACTGTTCTTGCACAGCTGACGCCTCACGATATCGTGAAAGTACAACGTGAACTACGCCTCAGAATTTCCAAACGGTCGACGCTGTTTACACTTGATATGCTATGTAATTCTAGTCATAGACATAACAGATCAGTTGCTTTAGAGGCAAATTGTCGTTAAAAAAGAATTAATAATCTCTGACACTTCCACGATGCTTACGTGATTTGCAATACCAGCGATAACCATCTGTTGCCTATTGATATGTATTTCGCCGAAAAGGCATGTTGCACTGGTTTGCATTGTAGGTTGTTACGAAAAGGCCGGCTTTGACCTAACGAACGCAGCACAATTATAGGCTTCCTATGATGACTGCAGATCTCCATTAAGTAACAGACTTCTTGCAAAATATCTTTTCGTGATAATAATTTGTTCGGATTGAGGATTGTTTTGGTCTGTCACGTGACATGGTTGAATTGAAACAGGTTTTTTTTTTATTTTACGCCGTTGATGTGAAGACGAAATCTGACAAAATATTTTACGTCGTTTAATTGAAGTATTTCTAGATTTTCTTCTTGTTTTGTTTTCTTGTCTTAGTTTCTTAACATGCTCCTTCTCCATTACTTCTTTGCCCCTCTCCTTCTCCCTATCTACCAAGGTGCATCTTTTTCTTTTCTTTCTTCGTATTCAGATCTATTCTTTCTTTATTCGATTACCTTTTCCTTGTTGTTATTTCGCCTCGTCGTTCTCTTCACTTCATTTTCTTTCGCAGTGGTTTCCTCCGGTTGCGAACAGTTTTCTTTTTAATCAATTCTTCTATTAGATTTTCCACGTTCCCTGTCTTCCAATCGATCACACGTTCTTCATCGCTTTACGTTTTCTTTTCGCTTTTCATATCTCAATTTGTTCAGCTCTTCTCTATCGCCATTACAATTTCTTGATCCACATTTTACCGATCAAATTCTTCTCCGTCATTTAGTATTTTTTTTTTCTCATACTTCAAGTTCAATTTTTTCTTCGTCAGTAATTTTCCCGGCACTTCTTTATTCTCTACCTCGTTGTCATTATGTACGACTACATTTTTTCTTTTACTTCTTCATTTGACCATAAATCTCTCCTCTTCCATTTTTTATAATCGTTCTTTTTTGGCTATTTTCTCGTCACTTTTCGACTTCCTTTCCGTGATATACTCGTCATTATCACATTTTTCCATTTCTCTTCATTCCTCATTTATTCTTTCTTCTCGAGTTATTTCATTTATATACCATAAATATTTTTTTCATACAGCTCATCCTCGTTTTTGCTCATCTATTTTTCCCCCAATTTTTTCGTTCATCATTAGTCTGCCCTCTTTTCTTCTTTTTTAATGATCTTTTAGGGACCTTTTCGTGGGACGATCATTAGCTAGGTTATTCTGGTTGACAATTACAACAGTGCAAAGATTTCGATACTCGCTGGCTGCCAGATAGAAAAAGTCGAAATTAAACAAAATTTCAAAGGTTGGCATCTTATAAAATCAACGAAAACAAACCTGATATACTTTAGATTACTTGACAAAATGTCTCTGCTCAAAAAAAATCTTTCTACTTTATCCTCACCATAGATTTTAATTCCAATCTGTTTCTTTCATCCATTTCCCCAGATCGTCTTCTTTCTTGGTTCCACATTGTCCAATGTAGAATTCTTCATTTGCTTTTCAAATTCAAATTATTCTGTTACCTAACAGATCATAAGATAACCATGCTGATTCCTTATTTGTGCTTTTTTTTTTTTTTTTTGTGTTTTTTTTTAAGTAAGAGGGTTTCTTGGAGGCGGCAAAATTACTTTGGGGTACAGAATATACTGGGTGCCATTTTACTAGAATCTCAGAAGTGGAATTATTCCTTTCCACAAAAACTTGATAGCAGTGTAGAATTCTTCTTGCAGGAAGTTAAACAACCTTCCATTTTTTATTTTTTTGTAATGTAATCAGTTCCATCATATCTCTTCTTTCTCGTTTTTAACTTGTGCTTCAAAAAACTACTCATTCCTTTCCCCGTTGATTTGCACATTTCTGTCCATATTACTGAATTACGTTCACTCTCTCGAGTTGGCGCCATTTTTCTTCGTATTATTTCATTCCATTTCTGTCCAATTCCCTGGAATTATGTGACAGTGTCATAATTAGAACTGGTTCAGGACTTACATTCTTACGTGTACTTTTAAATCCAAAGGAAATTTTCTTATTTATATTCTTTAGTCATCATTTTTATATATTGAAAGCATTTTTGCTAGACTCCACTGATCCATCGAATTATATTTGCCTGAGTTATTTTTTTTATTACAACGAATATTCGCCTTCATATTTATTTTTGTTCATCTACGAATTTCAATCACACCTCCGATGTACAGTTATGTTGTCAAGTTAATTTTATACTATTATCACATAATTATAAGCAACACGAGCTGTCAGATATGAAAACACACATACACACGCATATATATATATATATATATATATATATATATATATATATATATATAAGTGAACATTGATATTAACTCTTAGAGGTGACAGGCTGTTACATGCTAGACGCAATTATCAGGCCACCTGGCGATTCGGTCTAGCATGAAACAGCCTGTCGCCTCTAAGTGTTGACTTCAATGTTCACTTTTATATTTACACACGCTATATCTTTTTGCTATTGAGCACTTTATCCCATAAATATAACACACATTAAGGCTATATTTTCTTCATATATATATATATATATATATATATATATATATATATATATATTGAAGATTCTGTTGAATCATAGAAAAGACTGTTGCTACTCGGCAGTGAATGACGCCATACCTGGTCAGTACCGCCGCCGTAGAACATTTTTATTAAATGTTCTAGAACGAGAACAGTCTACCCATTAAAGTAAACAAAGGTGTTCAGTTCAGAATTCACAATAGATTTCCCAGATCCTTATACAGCTGCTGAAGTTCGGAGGTGGCAAATCCCGACACTTTGTGATAACAACAATAAATATGAGTACAATAGTCCGAATGTAAAGTGTGTAAATAACTCAGCAAGTGTTTGGCAAATTTGTGGTTGACCTGAAAATACGTATGGTGTAGATGGTGGATTAATGATTTTTCCATGTAAAAAATTCGCATACAGTGAGATCAGCACTTGCTGAACATTGGATAGCATTTTTGTAGACTAAAGTAACAGTGACATATCGGTAAAATGTGAGTAATACGTGCTAGCCTTGACCTCAGTGATGCCTGTGTATAGCATGTTCCTTACACCGGTTCAGACAATGAAATCACAAATCATTTTCATATTAAGTGACAAGGCATACACATTGTTGAAGAGATTCGTACGTAAAGTAACTGAAGGAGTTAGTCATTTCCCCAACGTTTCCCATATATTTTCAATGGGGTGAAGTATGGTTATAATGCCAAACAGTCAAACATCTTGTAGAGAATGATATATGCCGGACATCATGTGTAAACGTGTCCCATCCATGTCCACTGGGAATATTTGAAGCAATAATGCTAGCCAGTATATCTGCCAAACTGTCTGCAGAGCATAGTGTATCAGGGGCATCATCAAGACATCATGTGGCAAAGTGACCATACATCGTCTATGGAGAGAGGAAGGACGATTTATAAGACCAAGAAAATTTGTCGAACATCTTTAAGTCTAAGTTGAATTACATAGGAATAATATAGGATCGTGTACCATACTAGATCATTGGCAAGAAACCTGAAGATAATACCAACGTGAGAAGTTGTCGAAACCTTGCAGTACATATCTAATGGAACAGGCATCACAAAACGATGAACTATCATACTGGAACAAGATATCGAATTTCTGTTGCGGGAATCAAAACAGATCAGATTAAATAAAACCCTGGCTGTAAATGAGACATTTCAACGTTCCCACTTCAAACACTAAAAGCGACTGGAAGTTTGAAACTTATAAACCCCTGATGCCAGAGCGTAGTTATTAGAATCGAGGATAAATTAATTCTAGAATATATATTAATTATAGCATATCTAGCGAAATGTGCATGCCAAATATTCATGAATGGAAAACCTGCTCTCAACACGATTAATTATCATTTTATCCTTCTGGTGACCCTCTCGTGAAATGACAGTAGATGCTCGCTATTGTTAGAGAAATGGCGTACCCCTTGTCTTAGTGCAAGTACAAAAAATCTCAACAGTTATCATTGGCCCACCTGTGGCTATGTTTAGACTGTTTAGTGTTGCTGAAGCATTAAATTCAGCCAACGCTGCTCTTTAAAATGCTCGTTTGTAGAATTCGATCAGTCAGAATCTGATCTGCTGGTGTAAGAATGTTTATTTGACTTCTTTTACTGCTATCAAACCACCGCTCCCTCGTCACGTCGAATATCTGCCGCATATTCCGAGATAGCAATCCATCGTATCGAAAAATTAAGACAGGAGCTCTTTAGAATCATTCTAATTTGAAAATCGAGCATGTGGGTGGCTCATGAAAAATGGTTTACACTGTCAATTTCCCCACAAAAAATTAACACATGTCCTAAGCATCAGATACAAACAGTGCAGTGATAAGAATGCGTGTAGGCTAAAGGTGGATGAAATCAAGGAATTTTTTTCTTTTAATATCTACTCCACCCGAGGCCGAGTAGAACTTACCCAATGCAAAAAAAAGCAAATGTTGCAATATTATTTTCCGTTCCTGTATTGAGATGTTGTGAGTTTCCCGCGTGTCGGTGTATGAATCAAGACAAACACAGTTGTAGAGGAAAATACTGGTATATTCATAAAAGCAATTAACAATAGAGTGATTAGTAGAACGAAGGTTGGTTAGTACGAAACAATATCCAAAGTCTATAGTCCAACGGTATGTACCGGGTAAGCTTATCTGGACTGCTCACGCTGACTCTCTCTCTCTGACGCTCTGTCACTCTCTCTCCAGAGCTGACTTATATAAGAGGGACCAGTCCATTACTAGTTAGAAGGTGGGTGCGCCCCAACATGTATGTAGCATAATAATGATAATGTCTGTCTCAACGTTTCCGAATATACCCGTCTAATAAATGTTAATTACAGTAGCACAGGTGCACTTTTGTATTTAATAAAATAATCACCCACAGAGTCAGTAACCATTCTCCTTTATGGCGATGAAGGCTGAAAGAAGTTTCTCAGATATGTAGAAGAAACTTAATGAAAGAAATATTAGGTTACACAAAAGGATGCAGAGAACACTTTGGACTGAACATGTTAGCAATAACGAGATTCTAAGAAGAATTAAAACTAAAATGGTACATAGAATCAGAAAGAACGTTAAAATTCCTAAGTCACTTAACGAGGAAAGAGGGCTTGGAGAATTTCACACACATAAGACATAATGAAGGTAAGAAATGAATGAGAAATGTGAATAATCTACCCAAAAAGATTGTCAATGGATAGCAAAATATAACCTAGGGCCTATTCATATTCTACTCACCTGTCTCTTCTTCCTCTCAATCGCTAGTTACACCAGCTTTTTTTGAGCAATACCGACCTCATGGTTCATCCAAGTATCGTTTCTCCCCTCGGTCGAGGCCGGTGTGTCGACTCGATATTGCTGATTCAGGTGTCCTAAAAAGTTACGATATTTACATTGACGGTGAAGTCTCGGCCGGACCGTTCTATGTAAGTTGTGTACCGTAGATAATTCTCAAATTACAGCCTATTATCATTCTGTGTGTGTCCCAGGTCTTGATATATCGAATTTATCTACCCTGACCGTATTAATCTTAGAGGTTCTGTTAATAATAATAATAAGTCACTGTCTTTTTCTTTAGAATGTTCTGTTTTTTTTTTCTTTCTGTCAATATAATGGTGTTTCGGTCGGTAAGCTCAATAGACACAAATCTCGAATTTGGTGAATAAAAAAAAATCCAGAATCTTTCATTGTCTAGAAGAATTTAGGTAACGCTTTTCTGTAAGAATATACATGTTTTGGAGAGATAGTATAATTAAACCCCGAACTTAATTTCTCAGGAAGAAAAATATTCGGACAACACATTAATCCTGTCTTCTTGTTATCAGTTGGAATGGATCATGTGAGGAATCTTGAATTGCTTAATTTTACAGAATCTTTGATCTTTAATTTTGGGTTCGATTATCCTTGAATCTTTTCTTAAATTCATTTTTATTTTTTTAAAACATGATTCTTAACCAGTTACTTTTTTTTTCATTTTCCTAGTCCCTCCAAACTAACATACTAATTTTTATGCAGCTAAAAGTTTACAAAGGGTCATTGCGTTGTTGCAAGAAGGTATATTAGGAGTGATCTTTTTAAAAAAGAATTTCACACAAAACAAGATGTTAATGCCACTAAGATGCATTGGCT